TTACTAAACTGTACTGTCATTAATAGTGTTGCTTTGTTAATGTTGTATGGTTGTTTTATTTTGTGTCTTTCAGTTGATTACCTGGCTTCTGTAAAGGCACGGTTACTGTACTGGTGTTAGTTTAAGCTTGTGCAATAAAACTTGTGCAAAAAAAAAGGCAGCAATCAGATGTCCGAGCCTGAGTACGACACAGTTTCATCAGTTAAAACACACCCTTATGGTGGGAGTTTACTAAATTAAAGGTAGTTAGCTTAGTAAAAACCGTACAGTGAGATCATTTATCCTCATTTAACTGTTCTCCAGTTTTTAGAATGGAGTCAATGCTTTAAAAAGGGGGAAAAGACTAGATCAAGCAATCAAAAGACATCACTACTGCAATAAGCTGAAACTGCAATTTGTGCTCATAGGAATGTACAAAACCACATAGCTGGACTACCACCAATACTATTTACTGTATTTGGGCCAGTGGCCAGCATATCAGCAAGTCCCAAGGGTCCAAGAAGAGCAGCTTTTTCCAAAACCATATCTTTTATATTCATTAGGATTCCCACCAAGCATGCACGGCACACCCTGGGTAGAAAGCGAGTGAGCTTTAACAGAAGGAGCAGAGCCAGATGCAAAGGGCAACAATGAGACATTTTAATTATAGACACAGGGGCCTAAAAATATATACACCAAGCAAAAGTATTGATCAGGATTATTTTTTTTTCTTTAATCCATTAGCACAGATATGCTAGAGTTACAGCAAGTGTATTCAAGAACACTTTTCTAACAGCAAATTGCAGAGAGTTTGAAGCTAGGGATCTATTAAAAGCTTAGAGCCAGACACTTTCTTCAGGATTTGGTAGAGACCAAAAACAGACCCAAATGTTAGTTTGCCAGGTGGCCCTAATCACCACTCCTTTTGAAGACAGTGATAATGTTGCTTTTTAACTAAGAAACAACTTCTACTCACCGTATCTACAGTGCATTTAAAAAAATTATTACTATCCCATCAACTTTTCCACATTTTGTCACATGCACCACCTTAAACTTAAATGTGTTCTACCGGGAATTTATTGAAAGACTATGTTGCGAAATCAGTTTTACCCCGGTTCTTTTATTCGTCGAGGCATCCAGAGACAGGAGGCACTGGAACTCAGTAGTTATTTCACAAAACCTTTATTCATCTTTATTCATCTTCATTTAAGCATGCACTTTTAGAAGGGAAGACGAGGCCGGTGTGTCCCTCTGCAAAATCTTCACCCCTTTGTTAGTTACAGCCAGTTTTATATAGGCGACCCCATCATAAAACTCCCCCACGGTGTGCTGCAAACTCTGTCTGTGTCTATGTGCACGAGCACATGAATGCCTATGTGAGCGCACATGAGTGAGTGTGCGTGTAAAAAAAAAATATAGAGGGACCCCATCATAAAACCCCCCACGGTGTGCTGCAAACTCTGTCTGTGTCTATGTGCACGAGCACATGAATGCCTATGTGAGCGCACATGAGTGAGTGTGCGTGTGGATGTGTGTGCGTGACAGTTAAAACACTGTGGGTGTAGGTGACTCCCTAGAGGTCATAAAAAACCCATCTCCCTTCCAGACCACAGTTATCCAGTTACAAATGTTGAGACCCCCACCCAAACATTCTCTGGGGAATTTCCACTCAGCATTAACTCCTCTCTGTTTTACTTCCACAGTTCAACTGGGGAGGGTCTCCTATACTCTACTCCTAAGTTCATGACACAGTCAGGCCTTTATTACATTGAGGGCAGTGTCAGTGTCTCTACAATAATTCTACATTCTATGTTAACACATTTCTAAACTCTAAAATAAGCTAAACATTTCTACAAATCCCCCTTTTTATCTGCCCTATGGCAGATAAAACTAAACTAAATCTCTCACCATAATGTTTTCATACTGTGACTCCCCATTTCCCAAAAGTGGCATCATGGTGTCGGCCTTTGTATCAGATTCTCCCACAGCACGATTGATGAGTCTTACGAACAAGGCTCTGATACAAGGCACACAACAACACCCACATGTCACTAATACTGCAATAAAACAGAACAAAGAAACCATAATTGACATAATGAAACCTTTCCATTGCCCAAAGACAGAGGTCATCCACGCTTCCAGCGGGTTATCTAATCCCGAATGCTCATACATTGTGGTGGACAACGTCTTTAGGCCTTCCAGAACTCGGGTCACAGAGCCGTCAGGAACTGTTATTTGGAATGAAAGTACAATACATATCCCCAAACATCGCGCAAACGCCCCCTTTTTCTCCCAACAACATATCTAACGCCATCCGATTTTGTACTGCCATTAAAGATGTTGGACTCAACTGTTCAGCAAGCCCTTGCATTTAATGACAGCACAAAGATCAAATGTATACGAGATTGTGGACCCTTTAACGTAGTCCAACTCTATACCGCCATAATAATCAAAACACTCATCTGATTTACCTGTTTCACTACGTTTGGTTCGCTTCACCGTGGCCTGTGATGGTGGAGTCGCTGGAATGGATTCAGGTCTGTCTCTGGGCAATTCACTTATAAGAAAAATCACAGTTACAATAACCACAGTCACACCTAACACTACCGTTTCTCTCCAATTCCCCCTCAACCAGCCTAGAGAAGTTGACATGATTTAAATGTAGATAAAAGGCTCGTCTGTTTACATCTCTCCCTCACAGAAGGCTTCTCTGCAGAGCATCAAATCTGCATGGCAAAGTGACACACTTTAGGTGATCTTCATCCTTGGGAAAAGTGGTGTCAACTATTTCCCAGTCTCCTAGTATTTGTGCCTCACACAGAATCACAATTCCATCGCTGGACTTCCTCTGCGCTGTCACTTTTGGAGCTTGGCACGCTCTCTCCATCCCTCAGGTTCTCATGTTCCAACGCTGCTGAAGATTTAAGGCAGAGCACGTCGTACACCTTAGTTGTCTTCCTCAGCGTCAACATTGAATCTTTCATTTTATTTAAAATCTTGCTGTGGGAAGTCTCCTCTTGATCTCCTGGAAGCTCAGTAGCACAGCTCTCTGTGTGATGTCTGCTGTGCTGAAGATGATCTCTGATCCTCCTGAAGCCTCTCTCCTGGCCTCAGCTCCCATCTTGTGGACGATCCTCTCAGCCACTCCTTCTCGTCATGGCACCTCACGACATCTACAGATTAAAAATAACACTCCTCTTGCCACATGGCTTTCACCATGTGTCAACTCCCCAATGAGACATGCACAAGAATGTTGCACATTCTCTCTAAAACAATCTCCAGGGTTTCCCACTTGGAGCAGCCATACTCCAACCTGTAACCCTGTGTAAAAACATTAATCAGCAGTCACATGTTAAGCTTGTTTAACTCCCAGCTCCACCTGGAGCCTGTAACCTGGAAGACAAATCTGTTAAATCAAACTTCACATTTGCAACCAACTATAGATCATGAGAGTGATAAAGTACTCAGCATAACAGACAAGTATCATGTGCAGGTTTTCTCCAATCATTAAATCACTATTATTACCATAATTTGTCCCAAATCATGAATCATCCCAATTTATTCCACAATTTAATCTGTGACTTTCCTTAAACAATGTCACTCCACCCATTTTATCACTATGAGTTCAATAGTGGCAGGCTAATGAGCCCATATTCAACTATTCCATAAACACTGCATCTCTTATTTGTTTTTCTCATGTCACTTGTCTGTTTCTGCTGATTCCTCCACATACATCTTAAAGAAAAACAAACATTAGACACACATGGATCGTGTGGTGGGCAGGCGTCGGCCATCCACATTCCAGAGGTGCCGTAAAAGGCCATAAAATTAAGCCTGCTGTAAAAAGAATGACACTGGTTTCAACACAGGAAATTTCTCACGTTATTCACATCGTCAAAGTAACCTTCAACATTTTCCCAACAACACAGTGTAACAGCATCACCAACTCATAGCCTGTAAACACAGTTTTCTTCACACATAAACCCAGAAATTCTGTAGTAGAGAAACAAACATCAACCAATTGTTCTGTTATAAATCACATCATCAAATCACATGAAGAACTGTAATGCTGTAGAAAAGAGAATGCAAATGTTAGCGCTGCGCAGGTGTGTACACACTTTCTCACAGTAACTTCTGTGAGCAACACAAGCCCATGAATAACACAGATTCACAAACACAGAAAATGGCATTTAAAAGGTTAAATCATCACGCAACCTTGAATGTTGCTGGCATCTTTCTGCTCCTGTAAAAGAAACACATAAATTCATCCACCCTTTTGTCCTGTCTAGTCCAGTCAGTCAGTTTGTTTTTATTTCCATTCATTCATTCATCCATTCTTTCTTTCTTTGCTGATAGTGGAACCTTCGTCGCATTTAGTTTCCACTCTCAGCAAAATGACGTCATTTCAAAAAGAAAAAGAAGCTTTAGATCGGATTACCTCGCTGAATCCTTTTTAGGCAGGGACTCTCATTTTCTAATTGTCCCAAATAAGTGGCTTTCTCCAGAGCCCATTTTAATGTGGAGAAACTCACTTGCAACAATTTTCTCGACGACGTGTAGCGCTTTTAATTCCCGACGTGCAGATCTGCTTAAAGAAAAGAAATTCACAAACAAAAATCAGTGCACTGTTCAAAAAATAAAAATAAAATGAAAAATGAAAATAAAACTGAAAAACAAAAGTAAATAAAAATACTAGTGATGTGCGATACCACTGATTTCCTTTCCGATCCGATACCAAGTAAAATTCAGGGTGGTATCGGCGATACTGATCCGATACTCTGTACAAAAACTTAATGTTTCATTGCATTTCATAATACAATATATAATTGTATTATGTAATTGTAATAATAACATAACCATATTGCTTCATAATGATTAGAGGACATCAGACAACTTGTTTTTATTGCTTAATAATGCAGAATAATCATATAGAAATAAAAAAAAACTGACGTTGTGCGCTATTTGAGCATGTTGCCTGCCTGCAGCACTAAAGGACTCTGCGAGAGACGTCTGTCTCGCCCTAGCAGCACCTGTCCCTGTCCTCCTCTTCAGTTCGCCTCAACATAAGCTTATCATATTCTGTGATGTGATTTACTCCGAGGTGTTTGACGAGGTCAGTGGTGTTGCCACAACAACGTGTCCACACAGGACTCTGTTTGCGCTCAGCCATTGTTGTGAGTGTGCACGCCAGGGGCTGCGACACATTTATACAGCCGTATTCCGCATATGACTATGAAAGGCGTAAGAGGAAGTAGTTCCTTCCAAATTAGACGATCCGAATTGTATAGTTTCTTTCCACTGCGTTCATTTTAATGGAAAAACTACAAATTTACCCCAGAGTACTAAAATATCGATATTATAATATGAGAATCGATTCTAGAACATAAATTGCTGGTATCGGAAGAATCGATATTTCAGTATCGATCCGCACACCACTAAAAAATACAGAAGCCCGGTCTTAGGACTTGTCACAGAATATTCTTTCTCTTATAGGTGAGAAAACACCAAATCTAAAACTTGGTGCCATGGTAAAACTTCCCCATACTTCAGAAACAAAAACAAAACAAACAAAACAAAAATCTGCTAGTTTCACTCATTTAAACTCTGGCTGCAGGATTCTGTTCACCCCTGCTATCATGTTCCCCAAAATAATACTAATTCAGTCGTCTATGTATCAGTTCTCAACCCACTCAATAAACCAGACAGGATGATGGTAACAGTATTACCTACTTAAAATTGTGTTTGATCTTCATTACGTGTGTGTGTGTGTGTGTGTTAGTCGGGTTAATACATTTTCTGTTTTTATGTATCCTTTCATGTACCTTCCCCCTTTTTTCTGAAACAAAACTCCGTTCACTCCAAATTTTGTTTCAGAAACATCTAAATGAAAAACTCTGTCATAGTCAGGCACAGCTAAACCCCAAATGCTTGCAGGTTACCATCGGCAACCACACTGAGTGTTGTTAACCCCTTCTACAAATACCCTCTTTTAATGTGTAACACTTTGTGTATGATTTTGTGTTATCTCTGGTGCATATTATCGTGCATGTGTGGTGTCCTTTCCATTTTTCTAACAGTACACTTGCATACCTCAGTGCTTGTCTTCCTCCCCCTTTTGTGGTGGTCTGGACACTGTGTCAATCCTCCACTTCCAGGCAGTCGTTTGTCTCCCTGGATTCCTTAACCCAATTTGATTCCCCACACTAAAACAGCGCCTCAGTCCTCTTCTGCTCCTTTCTCTCCCACTTTTCAGTCCAATGGCAGTCAGTTT